ATATTTTCATCGGTTTTTTGTTTTCCCCCCACTTCCAACATTTTCTGATATTTTGTATGAGAATCCACGATTCATTATGTTTGTGTGTTTTTTCCCCTCCTGAAGCTTGGGCACTCGAAGCGATTTGGGAGGTGTCTGAGGAGCTCGCGCAGCGCCAGGCATTCCCGGACTTTGAGGCGACGATCAGGGGGGGCCACTGAGCAGCGCAGGAGAGGCGTGGGAGGACGACCGCGGCATGGGGCCTCAAGGAAGCCCCCGGCGGAGCCCTAGACAGAGCAACTTCGCGACACCTTGACTACCATTCTTGTCCAGGGCCCTTCCGCTGCTCGGCTCAGGAGGCTGCGGGGCCAATCGTGACTCCCAAATCTTTGCGGCCCCTTCGATCTTGGGGCTCGTCCAGCAGGAGGCGCGCACAGCTGATTCCTTGCGAGTCAGCGCGCGCGCTCTGTCATCGCGCTGCGCCCAGAGTGGAACGAAGCAACGCTTCGTCGGCTGGAGCTGAAGGCCGGCCGGGACCGCCGCGGCGCGAAAGGCGGCGTGCAATGGGGTTGCCTTATCAGTGCCCGCGGCGTCGGCCCCACATCGTCGGCGCAGCCCCCAAGGGCCCGGACGGAAGCGCCCCGCGCAGACAACGGGCCCGCGGATCGAACCCCATGGCCCAGAGACTACCCGACAGAGGCCCCCCTGTGGCACGCCAGGCGCCGCGCTGCAGAAGGCCTCCGACGACTCGCCGACCCTGGCGTGGCTGACAGTTGAGCAGGCGGTCGCAGGGCGGGGGGGGGGCAGCCGAGCTCGGTGGCACGACAGAGGAAGAGTTGGGCCACGCTCGGGAAGGCCGCTGTAACGTCGAAGTTGAAACACCCAGAGAGCCGCGCCTCCGCGCCTGGAAGGAGGCCAGCTCTCGGACATTCCGCATCGAGAGCAAGAGTGTGCTCGCCCAGCTTCCTCCGGTGCACGAAACCTACCCGGGGCTCGGCGGGCGTCTCTGGCCGCGACGCTCGAGCGTGCATTGACTGCCGCCGCCGAAGTCTTCGAGTCGAAGGGTCGGGTGCGCGCCGGGGCGCGCGCGCGCGCGCAGTCGACCGGGCCCACCTGCCCCCCCCTTCCGCCAGGTATGTCAGCATGCAATTATTGAAGCGCTCGGGAGGGGAATGGCCGCAGGCCATTCGCGAGAAAAACCATGCAACACTTCAGTGAGAAGCGGACGGGCGCGCCAGGCCCTCGCGAGGGCCCAGTCTGGCCCAGAGGCCGAGTCGCGGGCCTCCCTGAAGGCCAACATCAAATCATCGAGCGGGGGGCGGGGGGGCGAGAGGCGCCAGGCGCTGCGTCTATCTTGAAACGGGCCGATCCGAAGCTCCCGCGCAGCAGTGGCCGTGAACGCAGGCCCCCAGCGCGCTATCCGCCCAGAGATCATTGCGACTGGAACTCGGATAATCGCGGACTCCACCGAGGCTCTGGCTGCCCCCATCGGCCGCGCATGGCGAAGCGAGGGCCAGGGAGCGCTTCGCGGGGTGCCGCAGCATCGCGCGCTTGATTGCGGCCTCGGCGAACCTCCTGGGCTTGCCACGCAGCGCCCCCGCGTCTCTCTACGCTGAGCTCCGCGGCGCCGACGTCAACGTTGTCGACGGGCCCCGTCGCTAGACGGGCGCCCTGCCCCCGCGCAGCCCTGGCGACGGAGTTGCGCGCCAGCAGCTTGGCGCAATTGCTCGACTCGGCGTCGTGGGCGAGAGCTTCGGCCCGTAACTCATTCCTTGCCCCCTCCCGCAGCCGTCGCCATCATTTTCTCCACGGGGGCCCACTGCTCGCGCGCCCGTTTGAAAACGAAGCTGGGGCCCTCCAAGCATCTAGTCAGGATCTCGCGATACTCGGCGCTCTCGAACATATGAGGAACGATATCCTGGTCTTTGCGCTGCGCGGCATTCCGCGTCGGCAGCCGCGTCCTGGCGAATGCGCGACGGCGTCGTAGACCACCTGCGCGTCGCGCTCCGTTTCCGCCACGAAGGATGGCTCTATCGCAATGACGAGCCGGTCAAGCGTGCGCAGCCGACCATTGTCGTTCTTGCGCTTCGCGGGCAGCGGCGAGCATATCTCCAAAACGCGCGGGTTGTTCAAGAGCCCCCTCCGGACTGGACCTGATTGGTGGGCCCTGCCCGGGTCGAGCCGCCGGGCCTGCCTCGGGGGCGGGAACGACGAAGATGTGGAGGGGGCGTCGGACATGTCGAAGCCACCAGCCGCCAAGGAGGCCCCGTGCAATGCGACGCCGCGCGTCAGATCTGAAGCAGCTCGCCATGCGCGTCGGATGCGTTCCCTGCCATCGGGAAAGATCTCGTAGCTGCGGGCGCTCATGATCTTCGCGGCGCACTTGAGAATCGGGCGCGCAACCGCGGCGATGGCGGCGCGGCCGTCCTCCAAGATCTCGCGGGATATGGCGGGCAGTCCATGCTCTCTCGCAGCATCGGCGCTGATCTGTTCATACCAAGGAATCAAAATCGCCGCCCCCCAGCCCCAGGGTGATCGGCAATGGAATGGATCACCGTGTATGACTGCCATACGTTTGAGGTAGTTACGTAATGTTTCTTCGTATCCGTAAACTTCCTGAAGCAACGCCTTGTGCCGTTGCCTGAGAAGCTCGTCAAGCACGTTCACCTTATTCCTCCGCCATCAAGCGACCTGCAACTCCCACGGAACCCACCTCTGACTAGGGACGCGCCCAGAACGATGCGCCAACCTCACGCCACATATCATGGAACTGCGTCGTGATGGCACTGTGGTCGACCCTGGGGCGGTTGGCAGCATCCATGCCCCATGCCAGCTTCGGCGGCTTCTCGGAACCTGGGACCTGCACTTCCACGATCGGGATCCCTGCGACGGGCGCCCAGCTCTCCCGGCGGCAAGCCCAGCGCTCCTGAGCAGGGGCCTCAGCTTGGACCAGCCCGAGAAGTTTCTTCGTTTGGACCTCACGACGGACATCCTTCCCATTCTTGTCGCCGTCGGCATCGAGCGGGACCGTAGTGCCTGCCGCGGAGTTGACCGAGAACCTGCGCCATAGGTTACCACCTGGGAGCCTGGGCGGTGCCTGGAGCGCCCCAGCCCGCAAGACACCCGCGGCGCCTCCGTGACAGTAAAGGTGCAGGCGCTTCTGGGGACCATCGCCAATGAGGGTGGCCATGTTCTCCGCCACGTTCGCCGCCTGCAGCCAACCTGATATAGTGTCAAGAACGGCTATAGCTGTTGCAGGGGCCTCACATGCAAGCACGAATAGAGCTGAATCCACGACCCGGGTCCAGTCGGCGAGTTTGACGGGGTCGAGAGGCGCAGCGATCTGCGCCTCCGCGATGGCCAAGGTCTCCTCGATCTTCTTGGTCGAAGCCTCGATGGTTTTCTGATCCTGCTCGGGCTTCTCATTGCACGCCTCGACCCTAGGCACCTCGGTCATCCAGTGCGTTCTTAGTGTTGTATAATGTGAAGCTCCGAGCGCACAGCACACATGGTGTCAGCGAAAGTCGGCTGCATGCGCTTGTCCGTATTGGGTTCGAAATCCGCCACCTGCCTCTCCACCACGTCACCAGCCTGCATCTGCTGGGCGGGAGCGGCGCCACCTTCATGAACAGGAGCGGCAGCCTCACCCGCGGCAGAGGGGGCTGAACGCCATGGGTCGCGGACCTATGGAACGTCACGGTTACCTCCTTCAGCTGGGCGCCTCCCGCGGATGCGTTCACCGCTGCTTGGAGGCCTGGAAATGCGCACCAGCACCAACACAGGGGGTCGCCTCCGCATGGGGAAGCTTGATCCTAGATCCCGGCGTTTGTTATAATAGTTCGGCCACTGTGGGAGCCAGAAGTTTTGCCACCATCGCCGGGATCGGGATGTTATTCCCTCGGTGGAAGCACGCCGCCGATACTGGTGTTGGTGTCGGTGTCAACCTCTAGGCTTGCGAGCTGCGGCCATTGCTGCGAAGCTCATCGTCGCCAGAGACAGCATCGCCAGCCTCGGCAGCAGCGCGGCCGCGGGCCGTCATGGCACGGCCGAGCAGGGCGCGCCGTGTTCGGGAGTGCCCGCTGGCGCACGACGCGCCAGATGTCCTCAAGGGACAGGTTGCCCGCACGCGCGTGCGCTGCTGCACGCTCGAACCAAAATGGCAACGGGAGGGAGGAGGAAGAAGGAGGAGGAGGAGGAGGAGAATGAGGAGGAGGAGGAGGGAGAGGAGGGAGTGAGAGGGGAGGAGGATGAGGGAGGGGGAGGAGAAAAGGATGGGGATGGGGAGAATGAGGACCTAGGAAAAGGGGAGGGAGAGGATAAGGAGGAAGAGGATGAGTAGGATGGGGAGGAGGGGAGTAGGAGGAGGTCAGGAGGAGGAAGGAGGAGGAGGAGGAGGAGGACAGGAGAGGAGGAAGAAGCATGCTGCCCAGAGGCTGATGGAGGCGGGGGATTAGGAGGAGGGCGGATGAATGAGGCAATAGGTCACTAGATGAAAGATTCAGTAGTGATAGATAGAGGGGCGTAGTGTATTAGGAGGAAGAGGAGGGAGGAGGAGGAGCAGGGAGGAGGCGGAGGGAGGACGCCGTCCAGGAGGTCCTGGGGGACCCAGGGGCAGACTGGGCGGCCATCGAAGTCCTTGGTCCTGGCGACTAACCGATCCGCATCTTGAAGGCTTGAAGGTCGGAGGAGAAGGAGGTTGACAGACCAACATCTTACCTGTCCCCCGATACAATCAGGAACTCTTGCTTAGCGCGTCGCGGCGGCGGCTCTGGCGACACGCTGTGCCCTGCACGCGGATAGCGTGTCGCCCCGGCCCGCGGGGCGGGAGGCTCGGGACAGGCCAGTGACGTTAACGCTTTGGGACCCAGAAGTGGATATAGCGTGTCGCACCGAAGAGTGGCGGGCCTGAACCGGCGGCGCGACACGCGCGAAAACTTTACTTCCTGACTCTACTCTACGGTGCTGCCGCCCCTGCCCCCCCCCCCCCACGCCCGCCCCCCCCCCCCCTTACGCCCTCGCGCCATGCGCGGCTGCCCGCTGCACTGAGCACAGCCAGCGGCGCGCATCTCACCAGCTGCCGGCATGGCCCGACGCGTGCGGGGGTTGAGCCTCGACGGGCAGGCGCGTGCGGGAGGACACGAGACGAGGCATCCACGGAGCAGCGCGGCGGGTCAACGTGCGCGGCTCGTCAGGTGAATGAGCCACGAGATACGGTAGGGAATGCTTGCTTAGCGTGTCGTAGCGGCGACTCACGCGACACGCTATGCCCTGCGAACGGATAGCGTGTCGCTTCGCTCCGCTGGGCGGGAGGCTCGGGAAAGCTTGGAACGTTGGCGCGGAGGAATGGGGACATGGATAGCGTGTCGCGCCGAGGCGCTGTGGGTCAGCACCGGCGGAGCGACACGCTGAGCCAAAGTTCCTGACCATACGTGCTAGCGGTGTTCGACCAAGCGAGCGCGGGGAACACGAGGGCTTCTGACGGGAATGGAGGTCCCTCCTGCTCTTGTTCCTCCTCCTCCTCTTCCTCCTCCTCCTCCTCTTCCTCGTCCTCTTCCTCCTCCTCCTCCTCCTCCTCCTCCTCCTCCTCTGGTTCTTCCTCAGCCTCCTGCTGGTCCTCCTCCTCCTCCTCCTCCTCCTCCTCCTCCTCCTGCTCATCCTCCTCCTGCTCATCCTGCTCCTCCTATTCCTCCTCCTCCTCTCCGTCTCCCTCTTGCTCCTCCCGCTTCTCCTCCTCCTCCCTCCTCCTCCTCCTCCTCCTCCTCCTCCTCCTGCTCCTCCTCCTGCCCCTGCCTCCTGCACCTGCACTCTGCACCTCCTCCTCTCCTCCTCCTCCTGCCCCTCTTTGTCCTCCTCATCCTCCTCCTTCCTCCTCCCCTCCTCCCTCTCTCCTCCTCCTCCTCCTCCTCCCTCCTCCTCTCCTCCTCCCTCCTTCCTCCCCTTTCTCCTCCTTCCTCCTCCTCCTCACGCCTCTCTCTCCTCCTCACTCCTCCTCCTCCCCTCCTCCTCCTCCTCCTCCTCCTCCTCCTCCTCCTCCTCCCCCCTCTTGACCACCACTGCGGTAGCGACGATCACCACGGCGACGACGGTGACAACGGAGATCACCGCGACCAACACGACGACGACGCCGGGGGCCGGGCACGGGCGCAGTGCGAGGCGGCAGCTCCTTTTTGTACCGCGCCCCCCCCTCCGACGAGCACGGGCGCCGCTCCATCAGGCGCTGGTGCCCTCCTTGGGCAGTGGTGGCTCGGCCTCTTCCCGAGGGGCCAGGGGGTCCACTAGAGCGAAGACAATCCACCCCCACAAGAATCATCCTTGCGCGCGAAGCCGTGTAGTAAACGCACCCACGGAAGGAAGCGAACAGGGTAGGGCTGCTTAGCAAACGCCAGGGGCCGTTCAGTAAACGCTAATCATAGGCTCCTGGTGCTTTTTCCTCCCCTGGCCCATGGCACGAGGGGGACCGCTGAGTGGGGTGGGGGGGGGGGGGGGCGGCTCAGAGGTGGGAAACATCGACCTGGACTCGACCATGCGTCGGCGACAGGTCGGCCACAGGCCTCCAACAGCGGAAGCGCGCACGCCTGGGCGGAGAGGGGGGCAACTGTCAGGTCCCAGTGAGCGATGAATGGGCCATTCAGGGTCGATGCATCCCGCCTATATAAGCCTATCCCCCCCCGAGGTTGCATAGGAACAGCCAGACAGAACTTCTGGACACAAAACAAAAAAAAATAGATTACACGTGAAAACCAACTCTGACGAAGGGTCGGCTCGGGAAACCTTTGGGTGCGCTGGCGCTGGCCTCTCCTCTTGAGTAGGGGCTGACAATCACAGCATCAATATAGGCCCGTCAAGGTTTTCTTAGAACCAACGAATGTTCTAAACACAAGAACAATGCTCCTGAACGTACAAAACCCATGCACTGGGACCAAACAGTCTCAACCAGGCATGTTCTAAGCGCAGTCTGAGCAAAACGCAAAAGGCTCTGAGAGCATTCTTTCGTGGGCCTACGGGCAAGCCAGGACACTTCGCCAACGTTCGATCCCCGAGCACTTGCCTTCCCTTCCTCCGGCGCACCCCTGGTCATCGCTCGGACGTCCAGTCCCCGTGCACGTCTCGAGCTCGCGCGTGCATGTTCCGCAGGATGGCCGAGGGAATGCTCCTTGACTGTCCTCGCCGAAGAAATGCACACGTCCGAGCGATGCCAAGACCCTGGCCTGGAGCGCACAGAGACATACTAGCACCATATGTCCTCATCGGAGGCGCGCCTCCGACCCAAACATATGGTATGCCCATTTTGTAGCACATCGTTTCCTGAGCGGTGTGGCCAGCAAGCGCCCGCCACGACGCGTATACCAGAAGGTTTCTCGGTGCGCGCGTCGCCACTCGGGGGGCGACGCACGCATATCGGGGATGGACAGACCTCCCTTTAGTAAAACGTGGTTTAGTGAAAACAACCTCGGGCCCAAACCTGGCGGGCGCAAGCCTGGGAAATAACGGCCGCGGCGCCCTCTCGAGAACCGAAAACGGACAATTCACGAATCGACGTGTCAGGGTAGGAGGTCTGTCCACCCCAGAGCATAACATTAGTACGTTGAGGTGACGCCGATGGATTTCCACCGACGGAGTCGTCATCCCCTCCGCTTCCGCCGCCCTCCGCGGCACCTCCGCGGCACGGATCCGTGCCGATGGCCATCGAAGGCGCGGCGCCGCCGGAAGCAGAACGGAAACAGAACGGCGGCGGGCCCGCCGGCTGAAGTTGGCGGAAGGTAGGGAGACGAATTCTAATTTGAGCAGGGACCGACCGTCCCGGCATTCCTATAGTCCTACCAAGAAAAGTTCTTAGAACCCAAACATGTTCTAGTAACAAAAAAATGTTCTTAGAACATTAACCCGATGTGTTAAAACGAGACAGTCCCAGCCAGAAATGTTCTAAGAACATTTCGTGGGAACCGCAAAAGGTTCTTAGAACATTGTTTGGTAGGGCTATAGGCGAGCCAGGACGCTTCGCCACTGCTTGAATAGTGGATCCTGGTGGGCAGCCGACCCGTATCAGAAGGATGCGCGATAAGGATGCAAAGGGCCTTGGGAGGCCCTTTCGGAGCTTCCCGAGCAGGGCGCGGCCAACGAAGGTGGCCAAAGATGGGCTGATGAGGCAAATATTCGATGGTATACGGAACCCTAGTATATAATCTTTTTCGCCGTTTCCAAGGGAAAACGCAGAACATGTACACAACACCACCCCGACGTCGCCCCGGCTCTCAGAAAGTCCTGGGATTGAAAATCAGCCCGCCACTGGTAATGTACATGTTCCAGTTTCCGAGAAGGCTGGCGAAAGTACAGTAGCAGCTCGACCACAAGAAACCGTCCACGAGAAACCAAATCCTGAGACCCGAGGACATCCATTGACGGTTGGTGTGGGAGCGTCACGCTTTCCATTGCAAAACCATCGAAGCCGAAGAAACCCAGGGCACCCCGGAGGCAAGCAGGGTGTTTCTTGGCATGGGCTTCCACTGTAGAAGTGAGAAACCAACATTTTTGGATCCAATATTTCCGCAACCAACCCAATGCGAATCTTTCAGTCGGATCTAAAAAAGCGAAGACTGTTCTGTAGATCTACGCACATTCCACATATTGTTTTGCAGATTCGACGGGAAGAACAAGTTGGGGGGACATCGATTCTTTAGTCGATCCCCTGCCCGAGAAACCCCGCCGATGCTGACTGCGCGTGCTGCCTCTGGACCCTGGAGGGCCCCAGGGAGGTCGCCAGCGGGTCTCTGGCGGCCTCCGGAGGCCACAGGAGCTCCGAGGGAGACCTTTGCACACCATCAGAAAACTGCACGTCAAAAAAGCGCCGACGTCGACCCTCGATAAGACGAAGCCAGGACGAGGAGCACATCGGGCGAAGATAAATCGAGACTCTCGGAGATCGGGCGGCTCCGAATGATGTATCGGGCGTCGCGGCTTCTCAGAGCGTTCGGGAACGCTCTGAGGACGTTCTGGAACTCTCTGGAACGGATTTATCCTTAGGTCAGGCATGTCCTCCAACAGGCGGATGTTGGAGGCAAGTTTTGGAGGCAAAGTGGACAGGAGTCAAAACATGTGCAAAGACAGGCAAGGGAAATTGGTCGAACAGTCGCCCCCGGACTGGTTGTTTGAACTATTTTTCGCTCTGACTCCTGTAGAGGGACATGCCCGACTTAATCCTAGCCCCGTCCGACTCAATCCTCGATCCGTGAGGAGGAGGAGGAGGAGGAGGAGGAGGAGGAGGAGGAGGAGGAGGAGAGGGAGGGAGAAGGAGGGAGGAGGAGGAGGAGGAAGGACGGAGGAGGAGGGAGGAGGGAGGAAGAGGAGGAGGAGGAGGAGGAGGAAGAGGAGAAGGAGGAGATTGCCTGGAAGCCCCCTGGCCGCTCCGAAGGGGCTGGCGCTGCCACGGCTCCCGCCTGCCGCGAGACGAGGCGCCAGGCAGGGCCCCCCTCCGCGTGCGCGATGGTTGAAAAACCGGCGCCACGGCGCACGGGGGCAGCAACCCCAGCTCTCAGGTTAGGAGGCAGCTACTGGGAGGTCATCGTCGGAAGGCTTGAGGAGAATTATCGGGTCGGGCGAAAGGGGGGGATAGCAAAGGGGGGGTTTGAGAATCAGCTCGCGTAGCTGATTTTCCCGGCGCCTCCCGGCGCCGGATGGAGCTATGTATCGAGGAATGGGCCCCTCGGTGAGTCCGAAACCTGCTGCATGCAGCAAATTTCGTAACCCCCCCTTTCCCAATCCCCCCCTTTCGTCCGGCCCGAAATTAAGCCCCATCGGGGGACTGTTGTGCCGGGGTGGGCCTCGGATGAGGCGGGATGAGGCCGGATGGAGCAGGATTATACGCGAGATTCAGCCGGATCCTGCCGGATGAAGCCGGCCTTCGGACCAGGGCAAAATCCGAATTTGACCTCCCAGGGGTTGCATCCGAACTCAGGTGGACTGATCTTTTTCAGACCTGGCGTGCTCCCCGAAAGGGGGCTGACGAGGACGAGGAGGCACAGCGTCGACGATAACTCCTCCCCCACCTCCCCAGGACGAGCCCAGCATCGAATCGAAGCGTCGGATC